AACTCCAAAGCACAACCATTCCGGCGAATATCCTCATTGATCGGCAGCGCTGCTTTGTTTTATACTTATACGTCTGCCCACTATATAGTCAATAATGGCGAGCTTCAACCGGACGACTGTTTATGTAGCCCGCGGACAAAGCTCACCTCGCTCAAAGCTTTTCAATTGCTTCTTTTTTTGTTTTCTTCGCGTATTTCGCGTTACGAGGCTACTGATGTTGCGGACATATTTCATATCCTCGAGCATAATTTGCAAATTCTTTTTGCGAGCTTCAACTTTTCAAAAACCTTACATCAAGAAATTATTTTCTGCAGTAAACACGATGCTGCGGATGAAGATTATGAAAAAAAAATCAGAAGAAAATTACGGATACTCGTTGATGGTATTTCTACTTACTTAGAAAACATCTTGCCTCAAAAACGCGCTACTGCAACAATTTTAATTAAAATTGTACCTCTCTCACGTTGGAAATAACTATTATTATTATAGTTTCTTTACAATGTACAATAGATGCTACGGTGCGAATCGCGCACGCACGTGTGGCGCTCACTTGAACCGTAAATAATATAATTTTCTATGCTTTCGTTTTTCGGCAACGCACGAATGCGTCGCAGAGTGCGAAGACGCGTGTGTGTGCGTGCATGGAGCTCTGACTCATCGCTATAAAACTCGAAGCTGCTGCTTTTGCTGCTGTTGCAGATGCGCTGCTCTAAGTTTTCGTAATTCAAAATAATAAAAAAATTATTGGAAAAACAATGGCCATTATGAGGGCTGGATATACTCGAAGAATCAGATAATCGTTTTCGCGTTGAGGAACGAAAAAAGCTAACGCATTTTGCGCTTAACGAACTCATTGTCGTAGCTCGAGTTTGATCAATATATGCCGTGAATTAATTTCTCGTCGCGTTTCCAAATCCAAACAGCAACACGGGCTAATAATAATGTCGTCGTATTGTATATTTTTCTATACACAAACAAAGAGCCCCTGTCACGCGAGCACACGAATAAGAAGCGTGTTTATATAAATGTAAATATTACCAGGTATAATTTAGGAAACGAAGTGCTATTTAATTTTCATTAAATACAGATCGGCGCTCGTTAATTAGAGGAGTCTATATCTTCGAATGCAACTACATTAACGTTATCAGCTCGCGCGAGTGATATGTCGCGCGAGCGGCAGATTTATTATTATTATATACCTCGAGTCTCGGCGCGTTGGCCATATAGCACAAGTACACGCCCACATTCGTTTCCTCGTAATAATTCGTCGCTGCCTCGTACATGGATCCGAAATAATACAATGTCCGCGCTTGCACGCGCCTGGCTTTTTTTGCGTATGCAAAGCTCAAGGATTAATTAAACAAATGCAACGCTCGCGTGTATTTTTTTTTGTAGTTCGCGTTAACTTCGCACACCTCAGCCGAGTATTTCGGTTACGCGAACGAATTGATAAAACGCAAAGTAGGTAATCCGTCACGCCGATCTCATAATAAAAAATGATACTCGAGAATCGAGCTCATCGAGTTCGAGTTATTTCCGCGGTCTATCGCTTACGTATAATATAATATCTGCGCGCAAGTTCGTCGTCGTCGTCGCTGGGGAAAAACGTCGGCCCGATACCGATCGCCGAAAAACGTATGATGTACATCGATTCGCAATTGCAACGCGCGAGATTCAGCTGCTATTGGTTTCGTTTTAATTAATATACCGTATATTACCATAAAATTGCCAGGTCTATTCCGCAACGACGATCTGTGTATAGCAATATCGAACGGTCATCATGGTATACTAGCTGCTGCTGCTTCACAGCTGCCCAGTGCGAATGACAAGCGCGAAGACGACTTCGTTGCAATAGCTCTTGGCTACAAAGGAGAACACGATGTATTTCGAAAAATCAATTTGTACGAGCCGATCGTAATTTAACGTATAATATATAAAGTTCAAAGCTTCGCGAGAGCAACAGTTACCATTATAAGACGAAGCTATAATGCACGATGGGCGCGCGACTATCGTCGTCGTCGGGTGCTTTTCCGAGTGATGTATTATTATATAGGAGCATATAGCCAGTCTCGCAGTGTCGTGTGCGCTCTTTCACGCAACTTGCCGCTCTGTGTGTGTATGTATCTGCAGCCATGATATTGATTCAATACCTTGCAGGAGTCTAGACGTCTGGGAGGTATACTATAATACAGAGCAAGTAGCATCAGCAGCAGCAGCATCCCAGTTGCTTGATCAATTTCTCTCTCTCTCTCTCTCTCCTAGTCTCTTCTTCTCTCGCTCTTGTGATGGGTTTTTCTGCTTCTGACTCTGATGGATCGTTTGGAACCTTGTTTTGTGACACACTCGACGCGCGCGCAAGCGAGCGAGCGAGCGAAGCACGCGCACCGAACCGTGCCCGACGTTTAAATAGATTACAATTATAATAAAAAAATAAAGAGGAGAAAACATTTTAAATCGTTTGACTTTTTATGTGGTTTACAATTCGACGTGTAAATAATGGCTTGCGATAAAAATATCCTATAGAAATGTCAGCTTCTCCGTCTATATATACCTTTCTTTTCTCGTGTATAATATGCATAAAATACGAGAGATAATGAAACAAAATGTAATTGACATATAGAAAGCAGTACACGAGCAGCGTACAATCTGTGGGTGCATTAAAATCGGGATATCTTGGATAAAGATCGACGATCGCGCGCTCACACGTGTTAAATAACTCAAAGTCGCGCGCGATATAATCGATCCAGATTCGAGTATACAATGGGCTCTCGAGATTCGATAGGCCAATGCACACACACACATACACGTGCGGATCGCATGCATCGTGATACCGTACATATGGCTTTTATCGTCCAGGGCCCTCTCCGCGATCAGTGCTCGCTTAACAATTGACTTATATAACAGTCCTCGAAATCTAATCGGTCCGCGAGCATCGCGATATAAAGTCGTTGTCGTCGGATACTATATCATCTGCAATTATATATTCTGGAAAAAACGCGATATCTCGTGCTCTGTTCATCAAAAGCCTATGGGTCACCTTTTGGATCGGGCGAGCTTTTTTCACTTTCAACCCATCGAAACAGATTCTTCGTAGCATAAGCGCGGATTATAAACTTGAGACTCATGCGCACATACATTCTGCAGTGTAATGCACCGTTGAATCGTCGCGCACTTCTTATATACCACGTATATAATACATCGTACGTATATAGTGTATAAGCAGAAAGGATTGAATCGGCGCAGGGACGAGAGAAAGAGAGAGAGAGAGATCCGTACCGTTATCTCACCCGAAGTTTTTTTTCCCCTTCGCGCCACACGCTGCACACGTTGTGTACGTTGTGTTCCGTGAATTAAGTACAGTCGTGTGCGAGTTCAACAGCACACGCCAAGACGAGTCTTCTTTTTCTTCTCGCTCGTTTTAATGCCTATTAAGTCTCGAAGGCATTTGCGATATCAAAAAACGCCATCGCGCAGTGCATCGGCGTATTATATAGCGCACACGAGTTGGCAGGAAATTTTTTCATCGTAGACGCACATGTCATTCGTCGTCGTCGTCGTTGTCTTTGGATCGTCCTGATGCGTACCTGCTTAGATGACCTCCGTTAATGCCTAGCCTATACACTTGTATATATTTTGTACGTCGTATATACTTTGTTGAATTCTAGTTTTTTTTTAAATCGATCGTTCGAGTACTCCGAGACGATGATCGATTTCGTGAATCATGAATTATTACCAATGTACTCGTGTTTGGTAATACCTAGTTCGTCTCGCAAAAAAAACACGTTAAATTATATATCGGCCAAGATCATCGCTCAATTATCATCGGGAAATAATTCGTCTTGTGTAACAATCGATAATGGTTGTTCCAATCAGCTGAGAGAGAAAAATACCAGTAATTATGATGGAAAAAGTGCTCATTAGTTATTAAATTAGTCGACGATTAAAATCTCATCTTATTATATTGCGGCCAGAAGCTCGAATTAAGATCGTCGCTCGGGCAGCGTTTAGATTCAATGTCGAGTCGAGCCCGAATAAATTACAATAATTATTTTCTTCAAACTAGAAGATATTAATAATCGACGATGTGTGTATGCGTTAAAAATTATGATCTCACAAATTTTTAGTGTCGCACGCTAGACTTATTTTAGATCATTTATATGTCTCTCTCTCTGTTTCCCTCTGCTTTTGCTATATACTAGAGCTTAGATGAAATAGCCAATTTATGGAATCACCTTTTTCACCACCTTTTAGAGCTCCGACCACATTCATAAAAATTCGAGCGTTAAAATTCGACGCGAAAGCTCGTAAATAATATTCTTTATCGTTGAAATTTTCAACGCCGAAAGTTCGATTCGAATTTTATAATATACGTTGCGCCGTCGTCGTCGCAGAGAGTAAAAATTCAACTCGCAAAAGTTGAAATATCACGAGTACGAACTCGGCACATCGCGAAGTTCTTTCCAGGAAACTGATCACGCGATACTTCACTATCATCGGGCGCTTTGGCATGCATCCTGCGCGGCGGTGTTCGTGCTAATGCAAGGCAACAACGAGCGTGCGGTGGCTGCTGCTGCTGCTGCTACGAACACTGTCTGGCTGAGCAAAATGCAAAACGCGAAAATTAATTATTCTCATGGGCGTTGAATATCGCCGTGTATAATTTAACTTTTTGGCGCGGGCAGCGTGCGTGCCTTTTTATTATTTGACGAGATGTTCAGTGTCAGCCTTGGATGTATACATTTTGTTATTAAATCAAAGCAATCGATGTTTATGCGAATATTGAGTATACTGTTTTGTCAATAGATCATTACAGTTAGATCGATGTCTATATATCTTTTTACTCTCATTGCGTGAACGTGTGTAATGTTTTTATTGTATTTTACAAAATTTTTAATTAATCACCATTAAATTAATTTACTTATACTGCATAATTCAAAAGTGCGATTAACGGCATAGAAAAACGATTACTGATGCAAAACTATTACGTTACTTTGTTTCAGGAGGAGGAAGCAAAGAAGGCAAGAACGGCAAAGATAGTCTCTCGCCATCCGGACCTTATGCCAGTGAGTATAAATTTTAATTTTTATATTTAGAATATTACCGGCGCCTCTGGCTCGTTGTCGTTTAGGATCCGAAACATTTTCCAGTTCGAAGCAGAAAAAAATCAACTCTCCTCCGTTCGAGATCGATTAGAATAATCTGGGCAATTTTCGGGAATAACACTTCTCATTTTTTCGCGACTTTTATAACTCCAAAATCGCGCATTTCCGCTCGAAATCGCATGTCCATTCGGGAACGAGGTCGATTCGTTATTTTAATAACCTCTTTATCGATACGCCGCTGCTTCCATGAGCACTTTATAATTAAACTTACATAAATATATTCATAATACGCATCCGAAGTTGCCAAGCACAGCAGCAGCTCGGAAACGAAAAATGCAAAAACAAGCGGCGCGACAGCAGCAACACGTGCGATATATATTATTTATACATTTGCCGAATAACCCCGAAAACGAAAATAATTCGAACCTTGTGTCTGCGGCGTGGCGCATCGTTTCCTCGTAGGCATATACATATCTAACGATATTACTTGCACTATATATCACGCGTGTATAGTTTTGAATGAAGCTCATAATGTTCATAACGCACATGTGGGTAGCGTAAACAATGTCATTAACGAATTCTTGGTGCGGGCCCACGCGGGGGAGATATTTTCGCGGCAAATATGAGAATGACGTTTCGAAACGCATCGTTATGTTCGGAAACTCCCTCTCGCATCTCGAGTGCGTAACGTCATAAATAGCGAAAAACACGAGGCATGGAGCACTCACGACGAGACACACTAGGCTATATAGCAAAGGTCGATGATATCGAGTCCGCACGTGGTTCTCGCTATATGTATATCAGGTGTCTTTCATTAACGTAGCTCGCACTCGTGCACGCACGTGTGTGTGTGTGTGTGTGTGTGTGTGCACACACCTATAAGATATTGGAAAAACGACTTGTTGAGCGCATCGGGCGGTGTATATATATATAGGTCTCTTCTGTTGTCTATATACGCGTATCGACGCGACGATATGCATCGGCACATAACTGCACCGCAGTGCACGAGTGTGGTCGCGGCGGCGGCGGCGGCCCTTCGAAAGGCTCGTTTGCTGCGCTGTTGCTCGCGCGCCAAAGTATGTAGGCCGTATTATGAGGTTTTTCTGACTCTTCTCCTCGGCTCTTCGCGAGGCTGAATTTAGTATAATATAAAGTGTAAGAGAACTCGCGTTATATGTATATGTACGCGGCGCGGACAACACAGAAGAATGTGTACATCTATACGTATGCGTGTGAGAGAGCAAACTGCCACGGAAAGGTCCAAAATATCTTGTGCGTATGTGTGTATGTCTCCGCGCGGTGTGTGGATACATGTATGCGTGGCCCTCCCCATATGCTTATATAGTAGTAGCCTACGAGGCATAGAGCAGCAGCAGCGGCTCTTAGAAAGACGCCGGTCCTATTAATATTATGCGTGGTTATTTTTGTGTGCGTGCGAGCCTCGTGGTAGTCGACCAGCTCATTTAGAAAACCTCCTATAACACGAGAGTCTTATCATCGTCCTCGTTCTCTCTCTTTCTTTCTCGCACACATTACTCTTTATCTCGCTCTCTTCTTCGTTGCTGCTGTTTTCGCTAGTGAGGGGAAAAATACAGCTCGAGCATTCGAACTGCTATAGATACAGATTGTTAGCAGCATTGGGTGTATCGTTAGCCGTCACTAGATATATATTTTTAGGATCGATTTTCCCCGCGACGTCGCGCGATACAATATTCGGAATTATATAATTCATTTTTTTTCGCTTTTTCCGGGACATTTCTATTGATAAAAAATTTTTTGGCACGTACCGGATCTGGGCTATAATTTTAAGGACACTGCAGAAAAAATCCAAAGTGGATTCAAAATATTTTTAGGAATCACTCCAAGCATAACCAATTGGGTTGTGGCTGGTGATGAGTTCAGTATGTGAATTTGTGGAATTTCCAGATCATTGCTTGAACTTGAAATATTATAACCTCCTACTAGGAGTATTGAGGGGTGCTAGCGAAATGGTACAAATGGAGATTGCCGCTTGGTTTCTGTGAGATCGGTTAAAAAATAATAGTGCCACTGAACTATAAGAGTTAAATTTATCAAACGATTGAAAGATGCTATACTAGCTGGTGAAGATTAGACCTAATTGTCATAACTATTTTTAGGAACTGTTAATTAGTTAGATGTTTAATTATAAACATGGTGTAAGATAAACCATAATAAAAAGAGTAATTTTCTATTGAATTTCACATTTAAAAAAAAAAATCTCATTTAATTTATTTAATTTACATAATTTATTTAATTTACTTAATTTACAAAATTTATTTAATTTATTTAATTTGTTTTATTCTCTTATGACAATTTACCATAAAAAATAACAGGACAATGGTCACTACCATAAACTTTGTCTCTATTGACTATATCGCATATTTTATTTTTTATTCTTTCTGAAACCAAGAAGTAATCCAGTCTCCTAAAAGCAAATATCAATAGTATGAATTGATACGAGTAATTTTACAAAATAAAATAAAGAACGTGGTCGAATATTTACCATCCAATATTTTTTCCTCTAGAATTATAAAAATAATGCCAGTATGTGTAAGCATCAGTTTTATCAGGATACAAAAATCTAAAACTGTCAACAAATCCAGATTCTAAAAGTTCAGTCATATCTTTACGTTCTTCTGTAGTATAACCTGCGTTTCTTCTGTTATTTTTAGAATCTTTTAAATCTGTAATTTTTCAATTGCAATTAATAAATTAATCATTTTAAAAATAATGATAATAAATTTTCGTACCAATCTCAAGATGGGCAACGTTCATATCTCCACAAATGATGACAGGTTTCTTTTTGTCAAGTCCTTGAACATACCATTTAAAAGCTTGATTAAACTTTAAACGTTTTGGTAGTGTTACTAAATTTTGACCAGCAGTTGGTACATCTACAATAAAAAATATTCTTTGTATATTTATATTATGAAAGTTAAGAAAAGAACTTACAAACATTGACTAAATAAAATGTATCAAATTCAGCAGTCATTACTCTTGCTTCGGTGTCCAATTCTTCATCCTGTAAACCAACCGTAACTCCAATAGGTTGAACTTTAGATAATAAAGCCACCCCGCAATAATCATTTTTGACACCTTAAAAAAAATTAAATTTTTTATATAATATTTAAGAAAAAAACTACAGTTCTTCATGCTTACTGTCAGTATAATAACTATAGTAGCCATCGAGATTAACTTCTTGCGGCATTTCTGACGCTCCGCAAGTTGTTTCTTGCAAAGCAATTATGTCTGCATCTTCTTTCAATAAGTATTCCATCCCTTTTTTCTGAAATGATCATTTTTTTTTATTATAATGAAAAAATTTTTAAATATTTTAAACGAGTGAAAAACTTACCTTTACCAACGCTCGAATGCCAGCAACATTCCATGAACAAATTTTCAAATCTGCCTTCTCACCATCAGCATTTTCTTTATGACAGTCGAAATCAATCTCATTAAGATTAGTTTCTGTTTTATTTGTTATTCTTAAATACTTTTCATGAATTGGCTCAGTATTTTCGTCTGAGATTTTGGGCTTGACTTTCGTATCTTTCTTAGCTTTCGTATCTTTCTTAGCTCCCTTTTTTTTCCCAGCCTTTTCCTTTTGTTCAATTTCACTGTTTGAATAATCTTCAGTTTCATCATAACTTTGGTTCTTTGATTTAGGAATTCTTGTCCTTTTTCTAACGGGTTCGTCAACTTCCACTTTGTCACTTGGTTCTTTTACTCGCTTTTTCTTAGGTGTCTCTTTTCCTTCATTTGTTTCTGCTGGCTTTGCCTAAAGAAACACAAATAAATCAATTGAAAAGTCGTGTAAATTGCTTCTATATCAGCGAAATACGATGTAAATACAACCTTGGGAGGACGTCCTCTTCTTTTTGGTGGCATGTTTTCTAAAAGCTCTTTTCGATGATACGATTTTCTTAAAAAGTTCGGGTGAAAAGTAATAATTAAATTTCCGAGATTCTTAGCAAAAGGAGAAACCGTTACACTTCTGCTACGTTGTGCTAATGAGTGTCGGCCAGTTCGCGGCAAAAGTACCCCCCTAAAATTGCTAGTATTGCTAGAGGCTTGCGCACGCACCAATATAACGATCTTTCTGAATTGTATTTAAAATTTCAATAATTTTTTCAGAAATCTTTCATACTATACTTGAGCCATTATTGTTTATGCTCAGACTCGAAACCAATATAAAACACAAGTTCACATGAATTTTCGGAGTATGTTATCGTTTTGGAATCTTCAACTACGGCTTTTGATCCTAAAATATATCCCAAATCATACCAAAAATTTTGAATCTGATCCAAATTTATAATTAAATAACTTCAGAGAAAAACTCCCTTTAAGGCGTTTCCTTACATTTTAAGAAAAAAGAGATTATTTGTCGGTCAAGTAGAGATAATTGTGAATCTTCCGTAATACAAGTTTCGGATCTCGCCGCCAGTTGTCTTGGATAGATCCCAAAAGTAGAAATATTTTGAAGAGTCTCTACTCTCTAATCCTATCTGGTATCTTATCCGAGTGTATTAATTGTTATCATCATATATTGATATTCACTGACGACGTGGTCTCTTTATTAAAAACGTTGCCTGTAGATTGGAATAAAACAATTCATACTTATTGCTCGAGCATCTTCAATTCATCAATAAATCGACAGTCAACGTCTATTGATCAACAATGGATTTGACGTCGAAATTGAGTGAAATGTCAATTACCCCAAAAATCGAGGTCACTGAAAATGTACGGTCATTTACAGATTCTCCAACGCCCAAACCCGAGCCTGAAAAGCATCCACAGATGATAATACAAAAATAATTACAAAAATTGATCAGAGAAGTCGATCCATGTAGGAAAATGAATCTGCTAATTTTACGTTAAAAAAACGTTTCTTCCGAGAAACGATCGTGATTATTGATCCAAAAGTCAGCCGGTAACTGTCCCGCGTAATTTACGTTTTATCGCCTCTCGTCAAAATCACGCCACGGATCAGAATAATATAATGATTTTTGCACGGCTTTAAACGGAGTACTACGTTCACATATATATGGATACGCGACACTTAACCTCGCGCTAACTTTTCAAACGAAAAGGATATGTCGTATTATTATAATACATCGGACACACCCGATAAAGTCAAACGAATATAGGTATGAGAGCACCACGGTACGGTATGGTGTTCGGGTCGGGGCGAGGTGGGCGCGCGCTCGCGCGATGCGCCAAGCTTTCGCATCGTGCACGGGCAGAGCTGCTGCTGCTGGGCGCCGTTGCGCGGAAAGTCCCTACTATATTGGTATATATTGATCGCGCCTTGGCTCGTGTCATGGTGCGTGCGATGCAGTGCGCTGCACAGACTGCCTGCCTGGATACATCGCATGCGTTTATACGTCTCTCTGTGTAGGTGCTGCTGCTGCTGCGAACGCAAAAAACGCATACATGTACATGAGTTACCGGTGGCTACACCGCACATGATATATATATACGTGCACACGCACGTGCACACGTACATTAGCTTTCTATAAGCCCCTTCTCCTCCACCACCGCGAGCTGCTGCTCTCTCGGTGTCTTCCTCCTTTGCCGAGAGGGAGATAGATAGAATGAAACATCCGTTCATTGGCCTTTGGACTCCTCTCTCGTATACAATGCCACACTATATACGGCATGGATGTATAAGCGTTGTATACGATACACTGTGTCTGTGTGTACGTGAGCTAATGTATCGTATTTACTATATGTATAACAGCGTGTCGTCGTCGGGTCCTTGCGCGCTTGCTTAGAGAAACAGCTGCGACCATCGAGTATATTTACATTTTCCATGTCTTTTTCACTTTGATACCAGCTCGCCCTTTCGTATAATATTATTACAAGCTTTCCCCGACATCGTGTTGTCTCTGTTAATTTTGTACATATAGGCCCACGAGATTAACGGCAGCAATTCCCTACACACACACGCGCACATTTTTCGACTTTTTCGCTCGAGATTTTTCTTGTATAAATATCGCCGTAAAATTGTAAGATCCGAGTGGATCCAACAATTCGAATTAAAGAGTTTATTTCTGAATTTATACTTTATATTTTTTCTGTAAGCGTCTCGTGCGCTTCTTTTTTCGCGCGGCATTATCGTGGAAACTTCCTATCGGGGACTCGTGAGTCGAGTGTGTGTCGGGGCTCTCGTCGTCGTTCGGCCGGAAGACGAGACTGTTTTTGAATTCAGGCGACGTTTTAACACGCGCCCGTCTCTCCTGCAGCACATGTTCGCTACGCGCACGAAGCTCCCGATGTACATTTTTACGTTCTATTGTGTACCGCAAGACTCGCTAAGATCCAAGCTCGTATATATACCTGCCTGCATACGATATATTACAAAACATGGAAATTGATGCAATTTGTCTGCTTTTTTTGTTGTTTCAGGCGTCGAGACGAACGATGCGCCCAAGAAGAAGGGCTTCTTCAAGAACTTCTGGAAGAGATCGCGCCACTACTCCCTGGAAAACCAATAGCCCAGGTGCGCCAGGGTAGCCAATCGCCAGCGAAGCCAGCAGCAGCAGCGCTCGAGCCAGCGTCGTCTGAGTGGTGGCGGCAACAGCAATCAGCAGCAGGACCAACAGCAGCTCGTGCTGTCGAGCCATCCCTGCTGCTGCATCGTCCAGTGAATTTAATAAAAAAAAACCCTCTATCTACAGGAATAAGAGCTTCGACGAGAAACAACAGCGCCTCGTGTACTAACGTGGATTATTACGAGGGAAGCTCTTTCAACGTATTCTCCTTGATTTTTCAAAACTCGATTTTTTGTACACCGACAAGAAAAAAAAATTTGAAAAAAAAATGAAGTAAAGAAAAACGCGTACGCAAGAGTACTACGCGTAACGTAGCCATGCACACACTCACATGATTGAACTCTTGAACACACTATAAAGCGAGACTGCACTGACACTTGTGGCTTTTCTTTTTGCTATATACATAGGTAATATCCCCGGACAGCTGAAACGTGAATTTCTTTTTCAAAGCGCAGCGCTTACGAGAATAAAATCAACCGACGTTTTTGGTTACTTTGAATTCATTCCTAGAAAACTGCGCGCAAAAGAGCTGAGAGGATTATTGCTTCCAAAAGCTTGGCCAATTGCAATACACTTTCAACTCAAAAGCACATTCGAGCGAAGCTGCGTCCTGGGATATATGTAATATCGGTTCTGATTTCAATTGAAACGGTTGTTGCGAAATGCGGCTTCTCTTCATTTTTTTGCTTTCGGGGGAAAAATAAAGTATATGAGGAAGCAGACAGATGAGTAGCAATTTATAATCGAGTCCAAAAATATAAATTAGGAGAACGAGATTAGATCATTTTTGGGGGGCTGGGAGAGGAAAAAAAGAGTTGACTTGAGATTTTCTCCCAAATTATTAAAGCTGGGCATTCGCCGATGGATTGTCTACCCTGACGTGTTTAGCGAAAAGAAGTGGATGATTACTTGAGCGTTTTTTCAATTTTGTAAACAAAGTTTTTACAAAAGCTAATATGAGAAAACCACGTGGAGATTGATGGGCTCTCCGATGTTGAGAATATTATAACATTGACCGTCGTCTTGGGGGTTAAGAAGGATTTGTGAAATATAGGGCTGGTGCCAATTAATTTATATTTCACTTTTTTATCCATGATAATTATATATTTAAATGTATAAAGTGAGAATATTTTTGTTTCGTCGACTATAGAGAAATCAATTTATAACGTAATGATTTTTGACATTGAATTCGGTTTCAAATTATTAGATCTGTATATGTATTATTGAGTCACGAGTTAGTTTTTATTTCAAATGTGAATTTTGGTAAAATTACTCTACGCAGAAAAAAGACATCCTACGTACGTGCATCGTACGTAGAGAAATGAATTTATTTATTTTTCGTTTACAATTAAATTATAATGAAAAAATTTTCACGTGGTAATGAATTTTTTACGACTATCTGTTCCTTATTAACCAGAAATGTCAAAAAGTGATTTAAGAATTTTTTCTAAGTGCGTTCCACGCGAAACCTTACCGTTTCCGGGCTGAACGCCAATTTGTCTATATCTCTATAATATCAGATAATTTTTAATATTTAACGTATATATCATAATAAGTAAGTAAACGTGTGTATAGACTTGAGAGAGAAACTTGAGAGGAGAATGTACAATCGGCCCGAATGTCCAGCCCCATCGCAATCGAAGCGACATTTGTTTTTATGAAATAAAGTAAAGAGAAAAAACAAACAAAAACAAGAGATATGGAAAAAAACTTTTTGCAATATCTATATGCTGTACAAAAATTTTGTACTGAGTTACAACTTTGATGATGGTATTAGTGTCCATCGAAACTTTTTTAATATTTAACAAAAAAAAAGCATAACCCAATTTGAGGGACTTTTATTTTTAACATCGGTGTCACCAAACGCGTAATCAGTACAAAAAATACCTAATTCTTTCTTAAAAATTATACACTATTTTTTTTTTCAAAATAAGCATTAACAACATTTGTACGAATCTTTTTAACGTAATTATTCAAGCAAACGATAATATTTCGCGCAATAAAATAATATGAGCATACGAATTTTGTATTGTATAATCCTAAAACAAACTTTTTCATAAAATAAGTTTTCCATGAGACTGTAGACCTACTTCATTGTTTATAAAATGTAGTATGAATTGTTTTTGTACTTTTGGTAAAAAATAACAGCTGCTCTTGTTTTTTTAGATAAAGAAAGCGAAAAATTTTAATAAAAAAAAGGAAGTAAACAGATAATGATAAATAAGAAACTTTGTTGCCGTGATGTTGGATAGTGTCTGGCCGCGGAAAACATTATAAATTATATGTGTTAACGTTTACACGGATCATGTAAAATGAATGCAATGTGATGAAAAATGAATTTTCTTAGATACTTTTTTTAGTTTATTAAGGTCATTGATGATAATAACATCATCATTTTTAAATTCAACGTCAGAGAAATGGTTTTTGTTGAGCCTTTGTTTCTTTATGTACTTTTACTTTGTTTTTCGTATAAGATAATATAAGAGAAAAAAATTAAGTGAAGATGTTAAAAAAAAAATTAAAAGAAAATGCTTGATGTCTTCGTTGGGACAAGCATTATACATTTATGAGAGTAATCGTATGAGAAAAAGACTTTTAATACGTCAAAATGATCAGCGTAACGCATCCGAGTGGATCAAAAAGTATTTCTGTACTACGATATGTATACACGCAAACACCCACCCACACACTCACACACACATACAATTTAATTTAAGCAAATATATAGTGAGACAGAGAAAAATAAAAATACGTGTGTCAATGAGCGAAAGAGATCGAGTACGAGAGATGCTGTGTGTATGCGTGCTTGTGTGTGAGAGTGAGTGAGTGAGCGAGAGAAATAAAACCTTCTATAATACGCGTGTGTATCATCATGCACACACCATAAAGCAAAAGTCCGCGCGCGTATGTGTGTACGAGCGAAGAATGGGGAAGTGCACAAATGAGAGCGAATAAGCGTTATAATAAGTGAGAAAGCGTGAACAGAAGGGCTGAAACACGACGGCGAGAAAGAGAAGAGAAAGAATGAGTACATCAAATGTACCGATGGGGGTGATGATGATAATGATAATGACAGTGAGAGCGCGATGAATAAATTGAAATAACAAATTAATTACAAGAAAAAAATAAATTAATTAAATAATAATAATAACAACGTAAATGAAAACCAACAATGTTAATGACACAATATTATTAGATACAGTCGCAAGTTCATATAGAAAATCATTAACATGTTGTAATGTTGCTAATAATGTAATATTTGATTTAAACCACTGCGATTAAGATAACGATAACGGTAATAATAACAAAACAATTATATTATTACATATTATTTATATTATTATTATCATTATTATTATTATTACGAATGACAATTATGAATGGAGAAAAACACAATTAACGAGATTCTAGCTGATAATATATTAATTATTACAATGACAAAAAAGATAAAAGATCACCGGTAATAAGATTATTATATTTAATATAATTTTTAAATTATCAAATAAATTAATCATAGAAACTAAAATGCACGAATTTTGCTTTTTCATTACCAAGTCCTTTTCCGCTTGCGCTTTTTGCGTTGATTCAACGTTCCAAGGTATTTTAGCCAGCGTCGACTCAGCAATGCCAAGTGACCCAGAAAGACCCCCGATGAAAATGAACTTCGCCGAGCAGCGAAGATTTTCCATTATACGGTGTTTTGTGCCATTTCAACGAGCTTCCCTTCGCCAAGCTCGCATATGATTTATATGATCTCTACATTAACTACGAGTTGGCTGATTATTTTAATTATCTGCTGGTATACGAAGAGCTCATGCACACAATTAGCATACAAAGAGAAAGATGAGAAAGGTAAGAAAAAGTGAGAAAGATCGAAGAGAAATTCTGTCGAAAGAGTTTATTTTTTTCATTTTTTTTCTTATTACTGGAAGAAATTTAAATCTTTACAAAGTCTTTTTACACATTTAATTCTCTTTATTTAACATTAATTATTTGAGTAAAGAACCGTTCGAAATGCATCGGCAGATAGACATCTCACCGCCAACTTGCGGAGAGTCACGTGCATTTAAACTTTAATCGAGTTATCCAATACAAATGATCTTCTCCGGTGCGATGAAATTATCCTGTCGACGCATTTCAAAGTGGAGAACACAACGACATGCAAAAAAGAGATGCTCCTTTTTCAAAAATTTTATCCTTTTTTTTTCATTAAAATTAAAAATCGTACATCGTAAATGATAACGTATCACAAAAAGTAGCTCCTACGTAATGAAGAGTCACGCGCGAGAGAGAGAAACTCAATGCACACAAGTTCGGCTATAGATTATAGTTATAGTCGTGTGTATCGTTCACAATTTAGCTCTGCGGAAACAAGTGGCAACAGCGGAAGTAACAATTTTTTGGGCTATTTGCCATAGGAAAACAAAATTCCGAAAAGAGGAAACGAAGGTAGTTTCAAAGCTCCTCGTTTTTACAAGTGACGTAATGTACGTAATAAAAAGTAGACGTTATTTTTGATATCCACTTTTCGAATCTCTATTCTTTGTAATACTTGAAAAATTGTTGAAAACAATAGTAATGATTCTCAATGTGAAATTAATTAATTCAACTTTGATAATTTTCGTTATTAATTTGTTCCGTTGAGCCCAGAGAAATATTTCGACGTGCTCTCGTCGTGCTCTGGCGCACGAAAAATATCTCGACAAGCAAACAGTTATTACGAATTACGGCAATGGTAGCAGTATTAATTACAGTAGAGTTAATTTATAGGTAATCCTTATCACGCACATAGTTTACTTTTGTTGGTGTGACCATGTGTATTTGAGTGTGTACGTGTATTATTCGAGTGTGCCCCGGGGCTTGTTTACGGTAAGATGAATGCGCATGAGTGACGAGTGCTTTTCGCGTCATTATCATTATTATTATGCTGAAAATTAACTCGTTCGAGCTTTTTCACTGGCATATATATGCGTAAATCGCTGCGGCTTCGTCACATTTTTTTTGTTTTTCAATTCCAGACGAGGAACTTTGTGAAACTTCGGGTCAGTTGTTCCGAAACACACGAATGTATCGTTCGTTTCTTTTTTATTTGTCGTTTTTTCCCCCGTCACCCCGACAACTCAATGATAATTAGCCCCTCCGAGAGTCAGCCTCGAGGAAACTTTCCGCCCGAAAAACTTGGGCGCCGGTGATTAATTAACGAAGTATGGAAATTCGACCGCGCGCGAAAACAAACCAAAAAAATACTCAAAAAAGCTCCGCGATCTCGAGCTCGCTGTGTACGTTCATGCTCTTGTTTGCTCGGGAAATATTGTTTTTCCAATCAACAAAAAAAAGGGTTAGTTAAGCTGAATATTTATAGAGTGGCGTCGAGACGAAAAATCGCCCGCGTGAGCAGTATCGTGCGCGCGCGAGTCATTCGTGTTTTCCTCGAGTACAATACATACTAAGAGACTTACAATAATGCATTTATTTTCATGAGCAGCAGCGCACCACACACGCGCTAAACCTCGCGTGCGCCGCGGCAATGAGTAATCCGTATGTAAAATTATGATTCAATGACCGATTGTTGTGCGGGGCTTTTATTGTTGTGGTCGTGTGTGATGAAGCTTTGTTTCTTCGCGTGGATGTACTTACGTGTTTGCGTGTGTGTATGTGTATGAGTGGAAATAATGAATTTTCTTACAATATGCGTACGATAGTTTTCAACATTGTTACTTATTTATTCATTTTATTAAAACATTATTTAAACTCGCCTCGGCTCTTCACATTTTTCTAATAAAAATTTCAGCAATATGACACGCACTCCAATCTTCGTTATAATAATTTATGTATTATCACGATTCTATTCTTCTTCTTCTCTCTTTTTTTTTAATACAGTCTAAATCGTCCTCGTGCTATGAGGAGATTCTTCCTTTTTTTCAGTTTACTTTCGTCTTTCCTCACAATTATTATTTTATTTATTTTTTTTATCTGTTTTAGTATTCAAATATATTCATATATATAGCAATAATAAGATAGTACATAGCTAATTATCACGCATTTGTGCGAGCGGCTACGGCAGCCATGTATTAAATAGGATCGAGAGCCAACTCGAGTCCTTCGTCGATCGTCTCTTTAAAAAAAAAACTTCCTTTCGAGATCAATTAATTCTACGTATAGTGTGACTCATCCTTGTGCGTACAGGTCATTTTTATTTTCAACATTTCTTCTCTGCCTTTCAATTTCAACATATCTCATGTTGTTCACCTGCGTGTCATGTATTTATTATACGCTCTCGACAAAAACTGACCTTTCGATTTTTATTTCGATCCTTATCACACCTTCACGATCTGTGTACTCTTTTCAATGCTGCTTTATAAAGTTAATTATTATTTCGTCTTGTAAAAGTTTCAAAAAGTTCGTTTTGATTGCAATTAATATGATTGAAGTACTTCGGATAAAATGTGTTAAACTCGACCAGTCAGTTCTTTTTTTTTACATTAAACACGCATAGAAATGTATCAAAATCCTGTTATAAAAAGTCTGTAAACTAACAATTACACATACAAAGTAGAAAATTTGATCACTAGTTTATTTCAATTTGTAGAAAAGTTTGTTTTTTTTAGCACGTTTAATACTCCATCTATAGAATAAGAAATAGTTTTCATCCGTTTAATTTCTAATAATCCCTATCTATATTAGGTTGCCTACACCTATTGTGATAAGGGTAGAGAGTGGTGGCAACAAAAAAGTAGGCGGTGCGTCTTTACTGTGTATGCTGCAAATAAAATCAAGAACGAGAGGAGGATAGAGGCATTCATATACGTGCATTCGTTGAAAAATTGCGTGGGGAGAAGCGAATAAATAAACGAAAAGAGAAAAGTTTCAGTGTACAAAACAAAATCAAAGCAAACAACTTTAATAGGTCGACGACGAAAAAAAATGTAGAGAGAAACAAAGTTGCTGAAGTAATTAAATAGAATTGGAGAGCAGATTCAGCTGGCGAGGGAAAATGCGAGACAATTTCCACAATGGATGTAGAGGATTGGCGTGGTGGAGCGGGAGATAGTACAAAATTACATCTCGACAATAAGTTTTTTTTTTCGTAAAATGTAAACCTTAATGTATTTTGTGTGTTACATTATTTTTTCTTTTTTTTGTATGTTTTCATCTTATTATGCCAATATTAGAAATAGTTCAATTGAATTTTTGTTCAGTTTTTCTTGTTTATTATTATTATTTTGTTTTTATCACTATTGTTTTTTTTTATTTCTCGAGTGTGACGTTGTTCCTCCAAAAAAGTCGTCCCTCCGTTCGGTGATTCCGTCTCCCTCGGTTGTCGAGCACGGCCAAGGTTATCACTGCAGTGTCAATTGGCCCGACACTTTTTGACCGTGTAACAGTCCGCCTTTTTTTCGTCTCACTGACATCGCTTCAAAAGCTCATCGGAAGGGATGATCGAGCTTTTCTTTGAAAACAAGCAGGTTTCAATGATGTTGTTGTTTTTTTTCACAGGATCGCAAGAACGCAAGAACTTCTTCTTCGCAGGATAAGCATGTAAGAGTGTAAGTGTGTTAAGATATGTACGTGTTTGCGTTGTATGACTGAGGATTTCTTGTAGAGACAAGACATGTGTTAAGTGTGTGTATATGAGTATTTTTTTTTTTAATTTTAATGTGCGTAATTGATGTGTATTTGTGTTTTTTTGTATTAAATAGTGAGCAGCGGGCCTGCGCCGCTGCCGTGCGTGGCGCCGGCGCACATTAATCCCTCTTGCTGTTTCCTTCAAAATCTTCTCCTTTTACATAATATATAAAAAAACATCGTTCGTTTTTCTTTAACTATTCGTTTAAATCATCAACTTCATTTGTTTGTTTTTTTTGTAACTTCGATCATTTATGAAATCATCTTTGACTGCATCGATTGTTTAGCTTTTTTTGTCTGTTTCTTTCTTTTTAATTAATAATTAAAAATATTTGTATGATGGGTCCCCAAAAAAGATCACTGCAACAGAGAAACAAAAAATTTTTCGTTAGATTATTCATAAATTAAAAAGTGTTCACGCACAATCTTGGTGTGGTTATCGAAAGGATGAGGCATAGGAGCAGTGATTGGAAAATTACGCGCGAAAAAGGCGTAGCGCGACTTTGTCTGTAATTTTGTAATTTTCAGCTGAGAGATATGAAGTAAACGATTCCAATTATACATTGTACCAGAGCGAGCCGAGACAACGAGCAAGTAAATAATTGAGAAAGTGTCGGAGGAACGATAAAAATCGTAATATTTTAATGTCACGACACGGATTTCTGAAAAAAATATTATATTATGTATACGACGCACGCGCACACACACACAAATCTCGATCTTTTTAGTTTGGCATGCGAAAATGATGGAATCAGTCCGCGATTGCGCGACATTTTTTAAAAAAACGAAGAAGCGAGATGAGATTTTAAAAAACGACGGTCTACGAAGAGCCTCGAAATAATCCGCAGTATAAGCTCGCGCGAGGCCAAGTGGACGCCTTTGCTACATAATTGTATATTAACGCGAATTGGACTGGAGTGAAAAAAAATATTATTTAAAAAGACGCGCACGATCATTTTACGAAAAATTTTTTCTCTCTTCGCGATTACAAAGCTGTCTTTGGCGCTTTACTCTTTACTCGAGAGCGCGCGGTATCTCTCGGAGATCCCATAATATTCATCGCGAGTGAAATGTTCGCTCTAACGAAACGCTTTGGTTTTTTTTTTATTCTAGTCATTCCTTGGCCGATCTCGAGCGACATATAATAAGCGTGAATTATCGAAACACTGCTTGAAATTCACGCCGGCGTCCAAGTGGTTCGTGAATTTTGTACGAAGCTCGCGTATATAATAAATACTTTTATAAATATTTATACATACGCTCATGGCGCAAACACGCACGTATGAAAATATACTTCGACGCGATCGATGCATTGAATTTTAAGCGAATGAAAATTATTTTTAAACAAATGTGTACCAAACGACGAGTGGAGCGATCTATTTTCGAGAGAAAGACAAGAAGCGATAGGCCACAAAGTTCGGTATACACGGACAAATTCGTAAAAATCTCGGTCGCTAATGACGTTACTCCGGACACAGCAAAATATCCTACATAATGGTCACTAAAGAAGCTTTCGCCCAAATCATTATCGTGATCATAAAAGTTGTATTATAATAAAGTCGAAGTAAAAAAAAATAATAACGTCGACGTAAACAACCTAAACCGCTGCTACTGCTAATATACTCTACGATATAGAACTCTATTATACGCGTATCATGAGTGTGTGGTGTATATTATGCCCGTGACTCATCGCGCCTCATGCCAGTGATATTGCTTATAGCTCACTCACACACGCACACGTGCAAGCGCATAGTAGGCATTATACACGTAATATGTGTTCGCATCTATATGGCGAAGTATATAGACCAAGCGAGAAAAGAGAGAGAGAGAGAAAACGAGCTTCCTGCAAAACTTGGCGTTATATATGTATTTTATATAGACACATAATGTTACGCGCGACAGATCATTTGCCCTCCGGTAAGTATGTGTACGTACGCGTGTGTGTGTTCTGCGGCGGTGGGTACGTATATAGATGCAATTTCACGCGCTGCGTCGATACGAAATAGGCGTATAATATTAATACGCGTCCATCGGAGCCTAAGAAGAAAAAGAAAGAGAGAGTGTATAGTATGTAAGTTGTAAGCGAGATACACTTTCACTAATCGCAGGGAAGCTTCGCGCGCATTTCATACACATCTATAGGCTTGTACATAGCATCCTTCGGCCCGTGACCGATCTTGCTCGCGTATCTATACTGCATCAACTCTCTTGTAATATATATCGTGCGTATACAAAGACGCGTGCACGGGGTCATTTATAGCGACCGATGTATATCGTTCGAGACTCGAGAGTAGTAGCTGCTGGAATGTTACTGTACCGCTGCTGCGAAGACGACCTACATTTCTAAAAGGGTAAGCGTTCCGAAAAAGCAACGACGCGAAATATCGGTTACGAAACCTTGAATCGGAAGCGGCCGAGCACTCGCTCGCACTCACTCTCAATTCAAGATCGCTGCGGAATCCCGCTTCTTTTCTTCTCTCTCTCTTTTATTTCTTTTTGGTCGAAATGCACACGTTTTTCACGCGAGCTAATATTAGATTCGGGGTATGCGTCGCCTTGTCTGCTGAAATCGGACGACGACGAGCACGACTATACGAGCGAGTAGAAAAGTTCCTTTTCTCTTGGTTTTTTTTTTAACTGCGACGAGAGCTTTTTTGCCTTGCGGTGGTGTCGCTAAACCGCCGCGAGAGCACTCCCGAGTCCGATCGCTGTGCACGCGCACACGCAACTGTACACACGCGGAGAAGAAAAGCAAACTCCGTTATCTCGGACGAGTACTTGTCCGCGCGCAGATGTGCGGGCATATAATATTTCCACGCGCTGCTACACTTTTACCAATAGCAATAATAATAACAATAATAACCGTGCGCAGTGGAGCATTTTTTTTTTACTTTTCGGATCGAAGCTCGGATCGAGTCACGGATCGTCGATATACTTTCTTCGATTCATTTTTCGTGTATCAATTTTTCGTTGTACTAAAAACAAACGTAAGTATGCCAAGATCGATTGTCCTACTAATTGTGTCTTATCGAAAATTATAAACGCATTAATGAGTGGTGAGTGTGCGCGTCGTAAGTAAGCCATTATACAGCGGAGCTTTCGAGTCGATCGCGGCGACGTTTCGACATTCCTCACTCGTTTCTCATATACGGTTCAAACGATCGTGTGTAAAAGTGTCGCTTTTTTTTATTTTTGGATTTGAACAGAATAAAACGCGATTTTGTTATAACCTTTCGAGCTTATGCAATCTGTAAATGCATCTCGTACGTGCTCCAAAAGCTCGTACAAACTATTAAACCTAGCGACTTGCCATTAATTGATTCGACCAACAATCGTAACGAAATTTTAGAGATTCAGTCAAGTATCGACCGAAATTCACATCGAGTTGGCCAAGCACGAAAGAGCGAAAAAAAATGCTGATTACTCGTCCAAAAATGTCTGCTATTTTTTTTATCAAATGAAAAAAAAAAAAACAAAAATGAAAAAAGAAAAAAAAACAAGTGACGAGTACGCGACCTTCCGTCAGCTATATAAGCTCGTCGACCGATGAGCAATGAACCGATAATGTGTGCGAGCTCGGCTCGGCGCGCGACTTATCGATTTTTCGCCCAAGTACGTATTACGTGCGGTTAATAACTTCATCATATGTGAGGCATATTACACATATTTTCAGTATATATATAATATAAGCTCTATGCATGTTATGTACTCGTCGAGTGCCTATATTAGCGCCTGCGGAATCGTGTGCATCATCGCTCGCGTTGAAAGTAAAGTAAAAAAAAAAAAAGAAAAATGAAAAATGAAGAGTACGCGCGAAGGTGAGCAGTCCTCGTCGAGAGGAGACTTCATATATATGCATCTCGTATTCAAGTAGCAACGCGCAACGAGCCTCGACGACGCGAGAGACCCCGTTCGTTCTCTCTTTCTTTCCCGATCGAGCATGAGCAGCAGCACACGTGAAACGATGATTTGTGCGCGTGTATATATGGTGTATAATAATGAGCAGATTTGCTGAGCTTGCCTTTTATATACACTGTATATTATATATGTTACGAGTGTGTATGCAGCACCTCGCGCGACACGCTTTTTTTTCAAGCCCATTTTTCGCATTGCCAAGCGCTAAATGACAAACGTCAAGAGACGTCAGGCAGGCAGCAGTACTGTACACCGCAAAAGCAAAGAGAGTAGAGTGGATATTATGGTTTTTCTTTACTCTTCGCTCGACATCCATATTATTTCTCATTGGTTGATTAATGTTTTGCACAAGTGAATGAAAAAAAAAAAAAAATAACACGTCATAAACACAAGAGATTTTGAATTGAGTAAAAATTTTTTATTTTAGATTCATGTTTTCTTCTTCTTTTTTTTTTATTACAATTGAAATTCAGATTCGCAATTTGAGCTATGATTCGTGTGTGTATGTGTCAATCAGAACATTTATTGATTCTTTAATAAATTAATCATTGGATCAATGTTGTTTCGGGTGGTGAATGTTTTACAAAAATTGCTCAATCTTAGGCTCAAACAAAAAAAATGATTATCCAAGTCAACAAAGACGTTCGTGTATATTTACAATATAATATGTTTAAAATGTTAAAAAACTTATGTATCTGTAAACCTAAAAAGTGTCGCGCGCTCGTTGTTCCTTTTTTTTTTTTTTTTTTATTCATTCGTAAAATCGAGCAAGTCATCTCTCATTTCGCCGTCGACATAATAATGATATATTATTCATAATATAGCACGCCCAACGAAGCAAACAACCAATCAACAAAACGACAGCAAAAAATATCCGCCGCGAGAGAGAGGAACCAAAGCCCAAAATCGCACACGATGTATCGCGACATTCGTTCTCTCGCTCATGATGTGTATATAAAATTCAATATAAGAAAGAAACTTTTTGAGGCGTGTTGACGAGAGAGAGAGAGAGAGAGAGGTGTACACAAGGTGTATTGTGTCTTCTTCACTCCAGTCTCTTTGCGCGCGGCACACATCTCGGAGGCCTTTAATACACCTCTCTTTTCTCTTGTCCGCAAAGTCTTTTGCGGAGAAAGAGAAAAACGAGAAATACTGGCTCGCGACTTTTTTTTTATAGACCGTAGCGGTTTACTCTTTCTCTCTCTCTCTCGTATAGGCTTTGGTTCGATGAAAGAGGATGACCGGAGAGTATTTATTTGCTGCCGATGTTGCCGCTGCGTGCGTGCCATACGCAAGAGAGCAACGGACGATAAGGACGACGGGCGACGGACGACGACGACGTAGTAGACGACGTAGACAGGCGACGATCACACGACGACGGGCGACGAAAACGACGACGAGAAGCGGAGGAGCGGGACATGTTTAAAGGAGATGGTCGTGGTGTTGGTGTTGTTGTTGTTGTGCGCTCTCTCCCCCGTTTCTTTGCTCTATACAAGAACAACACTGACCTAATAGCCGCAGGACAGGAGGTAGTCGCCCAATTTTTCGACGACGGAGGCCGCCTGCTGTGGCTGGATGGGATCCTCGTAGAGCGACACCACCACGGCCTGTGACGTCTTCATGCAGTGCACGCCGACCTTGCCCAGCTTCGCCCTTATGACGCGGTCTGTGCCGGACAGGTAGATATACCTGCTGCCCGCCAGGGTGACGCCCGAGGACGTTAGCACGCCCTGGTCCTCGAAGCCCTGGACGAGCTTGGCCAGCTCCTCTTTGCTCACCTGCGGAAGAGAAAAAAAAGGGTCATTAAAGACGTTCCATTGCTTCTACGAAAGTATTTAGAAGAGATTATTATATAGTGTGTCAATGTGAAGTGTGTGTGTGTGTGTGTGTGTTTGTTCGAGAGAGCGGCTCTTTCAAGCTCGAGTAACCGTAATACGAGTTTTTTTTCATCATTTCTTTCTTTATTTCTTTCTTTCTTTTTTAATTATCTACTAATTGGAGGCTTCGCGCGATTCGATAATACATCGAGATCAGGTCACTTTTCGGCCAGACGTAGCAGCAGCAGCAGCGAAAGGGGGGAGGAAAATTGTACGAATAAACACATTTTCTATAAATACACGTAATAATAATTTCTGCCTGCCTCGCGATAAGGTGTTGTTGAGCGATCCCACCAGCGCCGATCGTGCGTGCGTTACGTTTTGTCTCGAGATTACCCAGCATTTCAAGAATTTCAAATGATCGCACGTACGTACGTGTATTATGCTTTATTGTAAGCTGTCGATACGATCGCCAATAAAGTCTCCCAATGGCGTGATACATATTTTTGCTACATTATATTGGCCGTGTCAAGGTAAGAAGATGAAAAAAAAAAAACGATGACTCGGCGGCGCTGATCTTTTCGACTATAAAGAGGTGCGAGTATAGAGAAGAGAAGAATCTGCGGGAGGGAAAAAACCGAACTATGTGTGTGTGTGTGTATAAAGGTCAGCGGCGGAGACGAAGACGGCGACGACGAGCAATTTGAGAGGCATTATAAATCGCAAGCTCCACGGTCAATACAGCACGATATTATGCATAGATGGATCTGATCGGGGTGTGCGTGCACACACGATATCGTGGCCTTGGCATAATAACGCGCGGGTGCGGGTAAGTCGAATCGATCGTCCTATGTGAATATACGCACCCACCCGTGTTACGACCGAATCTAACGGCTTACGAACGTGCTTTTACGTATCGTGCACGTCTTTTTTTTTCGACACGCAATATGATGCAAAATTCGGCAAATTATACGTCATATTTATAAACTGCCGATATTTTTAAAACTGCGAGAGCTTTCCACGCGACGACGATTCGTTCGAGATTACGTCTGAGCGAGACGGAGAACAGTATGAAGCAGCGGAATGCTCGGTTCATTTTATCGAGGCGTTGCGATTTAGAACGAAAAAAAAACAAAAAAAAAATAAATGAAGACACTTGGGTCACGTATATAACACAAAAATTGTGAACATCGTCGTCGACGCGATACGCGAATGAAATTCGATTAGAATCCCCGACGATAATACACGCGGCAGCAAATTGACCGTGGCTACGCTCGAATAATATAATATCGAGGCATTTAGATCTCGCTTATTAAATAAGTGACCTTCCACTCCTCTGTGCCGATGTGTGAGTGTGTTATTGCACACAGACATACACGACGACGCCTTGCCTAACGCACGTGTTTACGAAGCGTCGAGAGATATCGACGCCTTTGCTGCTGCACATCGCCGCCTGCACCTCTTCCTACTTGCGCGCTTCGACTCACTTACAATTAATAAATTAGCACTGGCGTAATAATTAGTCGGGGTTTAAGGCGCTCTCGGCTATATACGGGACGAATCGTACGAACGTCGACATTTTTTTTTTTTTTTTCAAGACGGACGCCCGGACCGAGACGATAATTTATGAACGATCTCTCTTTAGCGAGGAAAGGGCGCGGCGATCCCTCCCGCGTCTACATTATTTGCCATCGACGTTATTAAATGGTCATCGAGACGGGATATATTATCGCAGTCTTGTGTGTTATCGTCACTCGCGGCCGATTACGACATATTATCTGCCGCAGTTGTTGCTGCTGCGGACGGGAGTCTTGTCGCACACATTATTTACGCATAAAACGCGGAAGCCTTGGCATTTGCCGACAACGCGCTCAGCTCGCTCGCTCGCTCGGGCACGCACGCGCGCTACAACATTATAGACTATTTCTATTTTTAAAATTGCAGTAATCTTGGGAATTTCTCAAAATTAGAAGTTGACTCGAGCCTTATTCACGCTGCTACTAAGCGTCTCTTAAGTTTTCTTTCTCGTTCATCTCGCGCGCGTTATAATTGAAAAGTTGTTTATTTCTCGGCCATGCGCGGACAACGAGTGTATATTTTTTCTCATTAATAAATACACATTATGTCCGTTGCATAGCCTCGTGCTCGGACGGACAGCGAGTCTCGTCGCGCGAGAGATTATTTTGTTGATACAAACAAGTCGAGCGCGTGCACGATGCGTATTTCATAAATAATATTAATGCCGCGTGTGTACCGCGAGTCAAACTTGCAGTAAAGAGAGAGGAGTGTATGTGTGTATATCGGTTATATTTTGAAAACACGAATGTCGTTACGCGTCGTAAACTTTTTAAGCTCCGATTGCCCGAGTTGCTGCTGCTGCTTTTGTTGCGGGGGCTACTACTCTTGCGCGTATCGAAACGAGTACACTTGCTCGCTCGAGCGAGTACCGAACAACAACAAAATCGCTACGAATGCAGCAGCAGCAGAAGCAGCTCCGACAGCAGTGGCGTCCGTCGACGAGAGAACAGCGCTGAACATTTGACAGCGTAAAGAGACGCGAACGAGTACGGATGTAATGTACCAAAAGTGTGCGCGCGACAAAAAAGAATAATACATTTGTGTATCGAGAGCGTGTGCGTGTGTGTGCGGTACGGCAGAAAAGCAAATCGATGCTCGCGCTTTCTCGATAGCACTTATTTCATTTGTTGCTGCTACTGCTGCTGTTGTTGTTGCTCGCGTTTACTAATTGCGCTCGCGCGCGCGCGCTAACAAACTATACTGTAAACATATTCTCTTTGCCTTTCGGCATCTCGCTCCGGCGCGAACTTTCTCAGTTGGCAATTATTCGAATCACTGGATGATGATGATTATCATCATGATTATTATTATTGTTATTTTCTCTCCCGGCGCGTTGCAGCAATTATTATATACACACTTAAAACGTATATAACCGAGTTTGAAAGTACGTATACTCGAGTTGGTTTATACGCGGATGACGAGATGCACACAAACATACACAGACACAGATCTCCTATATTACTCCGACTCTCTTCGTACTCGTTTATCTCTCTCTCTCTCTCTCTCTCTCTCGGGCGCGGAGCGATTAAAAAACAGGCAATGCGATTTCATCTCGTTGCCGGTACTGCTGCTAGCTGCTGTTGCTGGCCGGCCATCATCTCCTCCTCGCGCTACGCTAATAAGATTCATAACGCAATCGGATTTGCGTTTAGCGCACTTTACTTTCGCGATTATTATGTGTATCAACGTGAACGTATACGAGAGTGAAACAAATCGTAACGTTATGTTTTTTTTTTGTTGTTTAATGATCAAAATTCAATTTTTTTGCGAATTAACTGTGTCGATTCCGACGCGAGCAGTCGATATTTCATATACTTTGTGTGCTACGTGACAAGTCCATAATTCGAGCGGACACGTGCGTGTCGATATTATACACGGGGTGCAGTGTGTTTCTCTTTTTTTCTGATACATACTGTACGTATATCTCGGTGTGTATAATACGGAACTGCACGCGCGCGAACGTGTCTGCTGCTGCTGCGGCTGCGGCTTCATAGGGTTGCACTGCATGTGTGTGTGTGTATACCGGCCGGCTGTTGCTGGCTGCTAGCCGAAGCCGCCATTTTGGCAGCCATGCGCTCTTACTGTGACTGCTACTGCTGCTGCTGCCTCGGTAGGCGAAAGAGAGACGAAAAACACAGTCGTGCAAACTCCGTATGTCCGTCCTCGTCACAGCAGCAGCAGCAGCAGCAGCAGCAGCAGCAGCAGTAGTTCTCCCCCCTCGCGCGTGTAGTAGTGTTTATGCGTATAATATGCGCCTATGCGTGTTCAAACTTGCATACACGATGTATACTACGCGTAATAATTCGAAATGCAACCCCCGTGCAGCAGCAGCAGTACCAACAGCGCGTTTCAATATACATACAACTATATACGTGCGTACAACTAACAGCAGCAACGGCAGCTGGCCGACTCCGAAACTCCTTCTCTCCTTCTCACACTACATATACTTCTTTCGTTCTTTTTCTTAACAGTCAAATTACTCTTAGCTTTACGACTCTGCTTACATATTGCGTTCGCGTATATACACAAGGTACGTAAACGTGTGAATTGCGCGTCCGAGAGAGGAGAGCATGTGTCAGCGGGTCAGGTGCAATATGCCAGCAGCAGCAGAGTATAAAAGCAAAAGAAACGCGCCTGAGCAGCTCCTCTATATATCTGTATTGTTACATAGTAGATAATACACGAGTGAAGAAAGATATAGCACACACGTACTCATTAGTCATTAGCCGCAGATACATACGAACTTTTACTTTCTTATATACCATCGCGAGAGCTCCATATCATAATATACGTATTATTTATACGTGTTATAATAATGTAGCAGTAGCTGCTGCTGCTGCTGCTGCTCTTTCGGCCGGATAAATTCCCAACAACGTGCGCGCGCTAGGCCTCGGTAAATTGCACGTAAAATTACGAGAGGTGGAGATATAGAGAAAAGAGAACGAGAGTGCCGAGAGCTGCATATACGGTGCAATTTGCAACCAGCAGAAGATATGCTCGAGATAAATAATATTTCACGCGTTGATACAGCACTGGGATTTCGCCGCTGCGGTGCTATTCCTATATATAATACAACACACGCACAGATAGACAGTCAGACAGACAGCAGCAGCAGACAACGTTTCGTTATACACACACACAGGCATATAGGCATCGATCCGAGCACATGAGCATGACGAAACTTTCTCTGCCAAAGTCGAGAATGATAAAAAGCTTCACAGAAACACATATTTATTTGCCGACTGGTATAGAGTATTTGTATAAAGCGAATTTCGCGTACACGATATATCCGTCTGTTTTATTTTTTGTCTCCGACAAGACACACGGTCCATCATTGTTTTTCTATTTCTTTCTTCATTCTGTCTTCTCTACTTTCCGCGTTAATATGTATATATGAATATGAAACGGTATACGCCCGCGCGCGCGTGCGAGAAAGAGACAAGCAGCGGCAGATATATAATAGCACACTATAACATTGCGCAGCAACAGCGTCAAAAACCAGCAGCAGCAGCAGTAGCGGCGGCAGGGCCGTACGGATACTATTTTCGGCTGTTTCTTCGCACGCCACGTATTATATACGCTGTATATGTATGCACACGTCTTTCTCGGCTGATGCTTTTGCTGCTGTTACTCGGCCAAAAGCTATGCGCGTGCATGACGAACGTTTTCATCGTACGTATTCATCAACTTTCTTTCGCTCGCGCGATGGTATGGTCGTCGAGCTGAAAGTCGCGACAAGAGTCAAATCGGAGGGACGACGAGTCAAGGGCTTATACACACTCTCGATATATCATGCATGAATAGTGTATGAATCGAATCGGTGTATGCGCAAATGCGTCCGTGTGCGTGCGAGTGTTGGCGAGCAAGAGAGAAGCACGAGAGCCGAGATTGGGGCGCCACACCCTGAAAAAACAGGGCAGCAGCAGCCGACGTTGTGCCGTGCAACGGCCGTATTATATACATAGTCAATATAGGTACATGCAGAGAGCTCTCTCGGAAACGGCAGGTCGTAAAAGGACATCGCCTCGGTCTAAACGCAAGACGACGACGACGACGCCTCGCGCGTTTCGAGCGGAGATTGCGAATGCTATGTACAGAATGGAGCAGTACGCACGCACATGTATATAACGCGCACACATAAGCACGATATAGAGAGCGAGAGAGAAAGATGGAGAGAAAGACGGGGCAGACGCCGGCTACGAGACGTGCCCCGCGCTCTCTCTCTCTCTCTCTCTCGCCGCCCCGTTGACGGATCGATAACCGTGGTGCAGGGCTCGTTGTGCACGTAGTACCCGCTACTCTATGTACGCGGCGGCATATTATTACGGTCGAACTGCAGAGCACGACCAAAAACGAGTCTCTCCAAGATCTTTTGCGAATCTTTTGCGCGAATCGACGAGCGCCTAAAAATATATAGATATGTGTGTACGACGTCGTTTCGTCGCTGCCGCTGCGCGATTAGCGCGACGTGGCACGGGTGTACATGTATATATATTCCGCGCTGCTCGTATGTCTGTGTGCGTAAGTATATGCTGCTCTGTGTGTATATGTGTGTGTGAGAAACAGGCTCGGCTTTCGACGACGACGACGACGAGTCGGCGTAAAAAAAGAATGCGCGCGCGAAAGTGAGGTTATGCGGTCTCCTCGTCCTTGCCCCCCGGACGAGAAAGAGAGAAGCAACATCATCGTTTCGCAGTCGTCGTCGTTGTCACTATACTGCAGGCCACCTCTGATTCGGCATAACGTCGCTTCCGAAACACGATTTTATGCTGCACACAAGTTTAAACGCGTGTACTTGTAATACGGATGCGTCGAGATGAGAAAGAGACAGAGAACTCCGGAATGCATATCAAGTATTGTACACTCGCCGGAGCAAAAATCCATCCGCGCACCTTCTCGAGGCAGTGTATAACAGCTCCTTTCTTTCTTTTGTTCACCCGTGATACACGTTTCGTTGCCTCTATCTCTCTCGTTCTTTTGGCCTGTCTACGTGTGTGAGTACACTTACACACACACACACGCAGACAAGGTACACTTATACAGAAAGCGCAGCCCTTCCCCCCTTGTGTGCAGTTGTGTTGGCTCGTCCAAGAGCAGCAGCAGCAGCGACTCTCTCCCGCGGTACGTGTGTGCGTGTGAGCGTGTGTATGCTTATGCTCCGATATACAGTGTAACGAGAAAGTGTAAGCCGCGTACGAATCGCGAATGCAAAAAAACTGAAAAGGTTCGTTCGGTCGATCGAGATGACACGCCGAAAAGAGAGAATCGAGTTGTCGTCGTCGTCGAGGCGACGACCATGTCCGCTCGGGCAGCGCCAGGTGAGGTAGGTAATTGCGCGTGTGTGCACGTTCGCAAGATTCGAGTATATAACGTTCGTGTGTATGTCTGTGTGAGCGTTGAGAAAGTACGAAGAAGACTCGAGTGTAACGAGTACAATTTAGACGGGGAGGAAAATACTTACATCGAAACCTTCGGACTTGGCCCAGAGGTTGCCGTCGTGACCGGCGATAGCCGCTTTGGTAACACAACGCGAGGCGAGCAGCTGCTTGTCGACGTAATCTTGCCAGCTCATGTTTGCACTGTTATTTTTTTTTTTTACTAATTTGTTCGACACTCAAAGAACTATTTATTAAATTTACAATTTAATAAATCTTTTACTTGGTTATTAACTCGAGGACTTGAGTCGTTAAGGCCTCGTGTTATAATAATATATTTGTTAATAAGCACGGCACAGCACTCTCTCGATGTGTCTCGCCCAAGAGACAAACAACAACTGCGAGAGACAGCACCGTATGGCTATAATACTGCAGAGAGAGGGAGGGAGAGAGACGGCGGCGGCTCCGGCGGTGCGGTGCGCTCGGCGGCGCTGCGCGAGACTCGAGACGACGACGACGACGGAACGGACGGCTGCTGCGCGCGGTTGTCCCACTCGGCTTCTTTTCTTCGACTGTTATGATATCGAGTGAGCAAGACAGAGAGAAAAACTCCTCGACCGTCGGACAGGAGAGAAAGAGAGGAGAGCTCGGTGTGCTCTGGTGTCGCTGCTCTGTTTCTTTATTATCTTTTAAAAACCGCTGCTGATGCTTCTGCACTCGGGGATATGAGCCTGACGTTTTTTCGAGAGCTGGCCTCGACACTCGGGCGATTCAAGCTCGCTTCCACGACCAGCAGCACTAGCCGATATATATAGGTATATGTAAGAGAGAAAAAGACAGAGAGAAGCAGAAGAGGAGAACACTCGACGACACTGCTGTGCTGCGCGGTACCGGAGAGCCACCCCCCTCCCCTCCACTCCTTTTTCCGTGCCGTATGTGTATCTCTCTCGCAGCGATTGCCCCTCGCGCGCTTCGACTCTGCGCTGCATCTGCGCTGCGCTCGCGGCGGCCCCCGCGCTGCTGCTGCCTCATGATGATGATGATGATGATGCCGCTTGTGTACTTGTACTGTTGTAACGCATTTTTTCAGGCCCAGAAAATTTTACTTCAAAGTAGCGGAAAGACTGTTTTATTGTCATAGGAAGATATTGTATAATATTTATCCTGATTTAGTCCAGAAATTTTCCCAGTTTAAAATGATGATACCTTACTTTTGTCCATAGAAATCGAGCATGACGCGACATCTGCAGGGTCTTTTCCTCGTTTCTTGACCACACCGACAGATACATCGAAATAGAAGAGGTTGACCAAAGAATTAAAATTATTTAACAATGTTTTGCCATTTGAAGTTAGATTAATAAAAAAATATTGAAATAAAACCAGTAATCTAAGAATCACGAATTTATATTTGTTGGATGTCCTCATTTGGCTGTCGGCAATTTAGAAGTTTTTGTACCAACCATTCGGTAAATTGCAACTGCGACTATGCGCGCGTATTTTATACCTTTTGCCAATGTATTCGTTGAGAAAACGTCGCAAGGATATAATTAACGATCGACTGACTGCACGTTTAAGTGACACTACTTTAGATAAATAGAGTGGACATTTAGAAACGTGTATTTTAAAATTTACAGCAATTACTTTTCTAAATTTGGGCTGAATTTATTTACGATAAAACGAATGATTCATTACTTCATTGAATATTAATTCAAAGAATGTGACCCTTGTTCTTGGTAAAATAGGATAAAATATAATTTGAAATAATTCTTAACAATGTATTCATCAAAGCTCTGTTTTCATTTATTTTACGCAATTTGCATAATGAATTTTCTTAATCTTAAAATTGTGGTAAAACGTTTTCTACAATAAAAATTCTTGAAAAAATTCCAATTTCAATCCTTCATACATATTCTTGGGCTTTGATGTAATTTAATTGACGTTAAGTTCAATTGAAGTGTTTTGATCGTTAACCAAACTGGATTGATCCACGCCAAGGGCAATTCTGTAGAAATTAAAGCCATAATTTTGAAAAGGAACCTTGGTGAGCTGGTCTCCCAACCAAGACATGAACCAAAATCGAGCCATCCCGAGCTCGATACTATATTGCCGTGCATTGCGATTAGTAGGCTAATCCGTTGACATAAAATAGCGTTGTCTCTATCGTCGATTGCAGGTTCCACCTGAACTGCGCTTTCGACATAAAATCTGACTGAATGAGGTGGATAATTATCCTCGAGCCAGTCTGGCTGATCGTTAAGTGGATACATTTCCTAATACGCAATTATTTAAACTTTTTAGGATGTTAAAGTTGCTCTTGTTATTCTTACGTCTGAAGTGGAACTAACGAATCTGCAAATATTACTTTTTTACACCAAAACTTGAACGAACGATAATCAAAACAAAGCAAATTCAACGTGTAATTGAAGTTGACTTGATGAAACTCAACTACTCAGCAGAATTTTGATACTCGAAAATTCGAATACTTGACTCGATTGAGTACCCGCTTCGAGTATTTTCACATTGAGACGTCTCAAGCACCTTGCATTTTTTCGGTACATTTGTTCCTTTTCAAGATCAAAAATGTAATTGTTTATAAAATCGTTTTGAATCGTCACATTTTTAATATTTGCGATTTTTCAACTCGGACAGGGCCTACGCTAGGCAAAGAATAGAAATCCTTACTCAAAATATACATAATGACATTTTTCAACTATTACGCGTAGTAATAGGATTGATTAATTTTTTTAAGAGGAACCTCTTTTTCAATGTAGTTGACAGCAAAGAGCAAGCCGATCATTGATATCATGAACATTTGACTCGATAAATCTGCACTAAAAACAGACCGTAAAAACATTTTTTTTTACTATTGATAACTCACTGAAATGGAAATTCAAGTAAAAATTTTACAACGAACAATTAATTATTTTACTATCTTCAACGCGTCGGCTACTTATATTAAATGAAGTTATAAATTTATACGATAGCATAAGTTTTAGTTTGCGAAAAATCTCCGCTACATTGCGATCTAAATGTAGCATTCCCTATCATAGGACTATAATTTCTATTTACACGTTACTTTTAAAATTGAAAATTTCGTTTGCTTTGGTAAATTTAAATAAATTGATTGGATTTCGTGAAATTTTCTACAAATAATATTATTTACGGACCAGCAGAGATAATCTGTTGAAAGGTGAAATGTCATCAGTCAGAGCATTATTGATAATGCAGCATGCAACAGACAGTCAATGATATACATGAACAATTGCATTCTCGAAACAACAGAAACCACATTCAATTTTTGAAATGCATACAATAACACCGAGAATATGAATAAACAGTGTTTCTCAAATTCGTTTACGAAACTCAGCAAAGGTCAAATTATAAGATTTACATTAGAATGAGAGTAAGTTGAAATATCTACACTTTCCTTCAAACTTCATAATCAGCATAACATACTTACTTTTTTTTGCATCATTTCTTATCTGAGATTTTGCTATGTTAATTGACCATGCATTAGATGGTCATCATTAGATGATCATCACTCATGCTATAAAAGTAACTTATCTCTCAGTCAGTCTCAATAATTATTAATACGTAACTTAAAATCATATTGAAAAGTTATAAAAATGACACAAAATTATTATGATTCTTTTGACAAAGTGGTTGATTCAAATACAGGTATTCCAGAGGATTATTGGCATCTCATTGTAAATCAAATTTTAGTGATTTAAATTTTTTTAATTAATTGAGTGATTGATATATATAAAATTATTTTGTTTTAGGATACTGCCAATGAAAATGGGACTATACCAAACAAAGAATGCTCATCATCCCATCCTAGCCAAGATGAAGCAAATAATTCTTCTACGCCATCATATCTTTCTGATTTTCATCTACGCAGTACAGAAGTGAATAAATTTAAAACTACATAATTTAATACTTTGATTTTTTGTACAATTTGCTCAATTTTGTTTTATAGATAGGAGAAATTTCAGAAATGCCAGATTATGAAAATTTGAGTACTTCTGCAGTACTGCACTATTGTAAAAACAAAATTTTGAAACCTTATTTGGGACTTTTAGCAGTTATGGGATTGCGACCAAACAGTGAACAATTGGAACGCTGTTCTTTATATAGTATTTTGGCCAATTTTCATACTTGTCAAGTTGTTTTGTTTATGTGCATGGGATATGTGCTACAATATATGGCTTGTTACAGGTAAATATTTTATGTATTTTGAATTATTGAATGAAATTACATCTTAAAGCATATTAATTTTCAGAAGAGACAGAGGATTTTGTTATATTTCAACAGTTTTGAGTGAAATATCGATTCCAAATAAACCTCGGACCTATGAGAGAACTTGTCATGGAAATGCAATATTTGCTTACTTCCTTCCAAATGCTTTACATTTAATTGCTTACATTTATGCAATTTATTTATTCCGCGTAAAAGAAAATGAGCAACTTCAAAATCTAATGGAAAGAGCATTTTTATTATCTTCACATCCAGCTCACAGAGGAGGCCAAAAACATTTGGTCAGAATTTTATGGCTTTTTATTATTCTTGGAGTAATATGGATAATATGTGCTTCAATAACAATCAGCTTGATGACAGCGAATGAAATAGTAACATTCCAGTGGTTGAAAAATAGGTAAGAGTGAATAGTACTATAATAGTTATCATTAAGTACATGAATTATGATTCAGTTCACAGGATTTAGAAACTATTCTCAAAGTTTGTTTAATTTTATGTACTTTATGGCATGATATGGTGCAAGGTACTATCATAACTAGTTATTGCTTACAAGGTCAACTTTTAATATCACATTTACACTTTCTAAGACTTAAGTTAATTCAACATACTATGCCTGGACTGGAATGGATGAAAGAAGTGAGCGAATTTAAAAAATTGCTCAAGTATTTCAATGATGAATTTGGACCCCCTGTTTGTATTTATACAGTTGTAAATATATCATGGACATTAACTGGTACAGCTTGGCTTTTGAAGTATGACAGTGAAAATGCCAAAATGAATCCAATCACATGTATTAACATAATAAATGTGATTCTATGGGCATGGATATCTGTAGTACCATTTATACAAGTATGAAACTTGATGATAAAAATAATAAGTATTAATTTGCATTCAATAAATACATAATAATTTTAGGCAGCTCGTTTGACAACAGCATGTTCTATGATTCAAAATACTGGACATGAAGTTCGAGTGCGACCATTTGTTCATCAAAGCACACCAAGAGAAGACTTGGATACTTTACTTATGTATACTTCATCACTGAAAATATGTGCCAGACTTTTCAGAGTTCCTATAACAGGTAGATACCTATGTTTATTCCTAACACTTCTGAGTATTGCGAGTCTTACTCTTGGACAATGTCAATATTTTCCCATATAAAATATAAGATGTGTGATTTCTTGTCAATGAATAAGTAAGATTTATTTTGATTTTATATCTTTAATTTGTGTAAATGTAATTGTGATTATATAAGCATAAAAAATTGTTGTTACATGTACGATTACCTTTGTGATATATATTTTATATAAATAAGAACTGACAAAATTTATTCAGCGATGATAACTTGTTATTTACATTTTTTAGACATTAGACATACTTCATTTGTTAATAGTTTAGCCTATTCTTTATTTTTTGAATGTAATCATTTCTTTATTGAAGCACATTATAAGAGAAATAAAAATGCCTTAGCTCAACAAATTAAATTCCTCCGTCATGTATCAATTTCAGAATTTCAATTCGGCGCTCTACATGCATCTAGCAACTCAACATATGCAAATTACCCTAGAATAGCGACACTTCACACTAGATCAATCGAAACGCGAAGCGCGCATGACCGGCCGAACGAGTCTCTAGGACTTTTCGCGCGATGTCAGCAGAAGCGATTGTCAGGCCTGCTGGCGTGTCGTCGTCCGTCTTTGCGCAGTCTGTCGTCTGGTGTGCAGTGTCCACGCAGAGTCAGGTCACCCTGTCGACGGCGTTAACAATAATAGCCAATTAATTAGTCAGGATGAACGTCGTCGCCAAGTCGTCGCCTTTCTTCAAGGCCACCCTCAACGTGATCAATGTCGGCGCCAAGGAGGTCAATCATCAAGGTGGCAAGCTCCATCGCAAGAAGATCATCGTCGCCAGCCCAGTGAGGCGTACTCTGGGATGCAGTCTGGCCAAGGATTTGCTCAATGGTCCCGTGGCCATAAGTTCGACAATCGGAGGTGAGTCCGTGGCTCGAGACGCGGCATGCCCGCGCATTTTCCCATTTCCACATGTGTTCCAATGTTTATATTTTCGAGGTTTTAATTATGTAACGGTCTCTGAGAACAGTCTATCACAACCACAATGTAGTGCTTTGAGATGCTAGCTGGTATAGATGTCTCTAAGTCTGCTTGAAGATGACGTTTTCATTGTAGATTTTCAAATATTGTTTTGAAAATTGAATTGAACAGAAACTTGATTTAAAGTTAGACAGTCATTTCATTTGTTAATGAAAATCACATTAAGAATCTATTATGTCAATAAATTCAAGATCACATGACAAGATTTTATTGGTTTCTAGTTTTGACGTCAACGATAAACATATTTCTACTTCTTTTATTATTGTACTTTTACTATGGGTTTCAGTTGAGACATTTTCATTATAATTACAGAAAAGCAAGTTTATGTTTATTGACTTTCAGCTTAGCTTATGTATAAAATTGGAAAAAAATTTAGTTAGAGTCGTACATTGACACTTTGCAAATTTTGTCATTTTGCACCATGAGCTTTATTCTAATTGATGGTGAAATATCTTCTCTTCTTTACATTTTAATGTAATGAATTTGAATTTAATAGAGACAATTCCTATTTTGAAGTAAACATTTCTTACCATTATTTTTCAATTTTTCTACTCTTGGATAAATATGTTATTATCATTGAACACTTTTATGGCTAGTTGTTGCAAGTTAATAACAAAAATCCACATTCGTCTTATTTGTTTAAAATGTTAGAGCTTTAATTTTTGAATAATAAACCACATTTAACATGTTTCAAACATTTTTATTAATTTTTGGACTTGACAAAAACAAGAAATCTTCCTTTTCGACTCTGTGCTTGTCGCTCAATAATCGTCCGATGGCGCTGGTAATGTTCAGAATACCAACCTTGCGCAGAACAGATGATTACGTGCAGACGTGAAATTTTTGTTACGCATTGAAATATTGCGTAAAATTGTTAATTTGTGTTGTTCGCACCGAGACGAAAGTTTTAAAAAACATTTTTTAATTAGTGATATATTTATTTTCATTAGTTGTCAGTTTAAGAAGTCATCATGTTTGGCTTTAGGATATCAAAATATTTGACGTCTGGAGGTTAACTAATATTTCATAATCAAAACATTAAATTAATCCAATAGGATGAAATTTTTAATTAATAAAAATTTGGAGACTAAAAATAGTTTTTTTTTTTTTTTTTGAATAATTGTTTTGGTGCTACTGAATTTTTATGTGATATTTTTAATATGAATTTTGAAATTTAATTCACTAAAACCTTTTTTTATGTATATTTCTATAACTAAGATACATTTTTTTTTGACAGTGAACTCCAAAGTGTCGCAGCAAATCAGGCTAGCACATACAGACATTCGCATCCCAGATTTTGATGATTACCGCAGGCCATCTGTCAAAAGTCCATATGCCAAAAGCAAGGAATCAGCACCTGGCCGTCAGTCAGTATCATATATAACTGCATTAGGTATTATTATAAATTTTTTAACATTGGCACATTAACAGAATTGTTGAATCGTAGCTAATAAATACTTTGAATATTAATTTAGGTACTAGTGTTGTTGGTCTATACACCGCAAAGGCTTTCGTAACTGACTTACTTTCAACGATGTCTGCATCCGCTGATGTATTGGCTATGGCTAAAATTGAAGTTAAGCTTGATTCTATCCCAGAGGGAAAGAGCGCAGTTTTCAAATGGAGAGGAAAGCCACTTTTCATTCGTCACAGGTATTTATCAGGAATTTATGTATTTTGAAATATCCTAAAATAATGCTTCTAAGTTCTATTAGATTTATTTACCATAAACTTCTTTCATGGCTGATGATTGTAATTTTTAAATATTATAGAACGGCTACCGAAATCGAGAGAGAAGCCGCAGTTGACGTTGGATCTCTCAGAGACCCAGAAGCTGACTCTGTCAGAGTAAAGAACCCAGAATGGTTGATCGTTATCGGTGTCTGCACACATTTGGGCTGCGTACCAATCGCTAATGCCGGCGAGTTCGGCGGTTACTATTGCCCGTGCCACGGTTCCCATTACGACGCCAGTGGCAGAATCAGGAAAGGACCGGCTCCTCTCAACTTGGAGGTACCCCAGTACGAGTTCCAAGATGACTTGGTCGTAGTAGGCTAAACGTTTTACTTGCTTCTCGAGTCTTAGAAAAATTTATGATTGGCAATATACATTTTTTTTACAAAAATCTTTTTTGTGAAGACAAGTTTTTGTTTGAAACATTTACGATTACGAAAAATGAAAAAAAAAACAACAACAACAAATTTTAACAGTTAGTAAAGAATCATGTACAACAACGCATTCTCGTCGATCGAAAAGCGAATGTTATCGACTGTCAACATAAAGTTACATATAACGCTGTACAGTCTATAGAATAAATATTTGAAGATTTTCAAAAAGAATAAAAAAAAAAGATTATTGTCACTTTATTTTATTTTGTTAATTGTATTAAATAAATTTACAAATAACTTAAATATGTGTTCGTAGATCATTGTCATTGTTTTACACGATTATCTTTGAAATTAAACGCAAAACTCGAATTGTATCGCTCACGAAAGAATTTCAACGCTCAGAATGTTCAATATCGTTTCAAAAAATGTATAGAAATATTATATAAAATATATCTGTAATGTATTATCAAAAATATTTGAAAATTTACAGAAATATTTTTGAATATTTCTCGTTTGTATTCCTAGTGACGAGTGTGACTTTTCAAAAAGAGTCAGCGAATACGCTCTGAGAAAAGAGTTTTTTTTTCTCGAAAAGAGCGAGGTTCAATCGAGTCGAAAAAGACATTTCACGTGTGTAACAAAAAGTGCGCGCGTGCGTCGCGTATAATACATTTTTTCGTACACCGTACACAATGAAGCGAAGAAGTGCATTATAATAGGCGCATATAAAGCGTCATAACGAAACGCGCGCGACACACAGAGTCGAGGGGTGAATCAACTCCTTGTACGTATCACATAGTAGAATATATAAGAGCGCCGTGCAGCCAGCGAACAATAGATTCTCTATACACAGCGCACAGTTGCAGGAGAGAAAGAGAATAGACCTAGACCTAGAAGCTTTGAGCGAGTACATGTGTATGGGTTGTGTGTGCGCCGGCGAGAGAAGGGAGGGAAAATATGCATTTGACGCGTCGTGTGTATGTGTGTGCAGTGACGACTACGACGAGGACGACGTGAGAGGGGGTCAAGCCACTGCAGCGCATCGGGCGTAAAAGGGCTCCCATGCAGGCGCGCGCGCGCGCGCATTACAAAAAGGGTAGGTTTGGCCTAGGCGAGCGGCAGCATATCGGCAGATCGAATTGCCTCGGAACTGCGTAGGACTGCCACACACACACACACACATATATATAAGGAAAATATACAATATGATGAAAAAGGGACTGCGAGCCGTAGTAGTAGTAGTGCGCCGATGAATAGAAATGGCTGCAAGCACCGCAAGACGGCGCTCCTGCACACACGTACGTACACGCATTGGAGCGCGCGAGGAGAGAGGAGAATGCAGTAGGAGAGAGAGAGAGCGAAATTTTGGTGTATACGTGTGTGTTGCTATACACACACACACAGCAATAGTATAGTCCTGCGTCCAAAAATGCTCTCCGCCGCGGCTGCATGTGTATATATATGTGCGTGAGAGTGCGTAAAGACAAGGGCGCAGCAGCGGCGCATAGAAAGAGGGGGGTTGAAAGAGAGAGAGAGAGAGAGCATCAGCGGCGGCGGCTACAGGCGCATTTACCACCATACACATACTATATCCTATGTAGAGAAGAGAGAGAGAGAGAGCCCTAAGAGGGATTTTATTTGCGCGCCGTGCGTCAGTTGTCGGTCTTCATCGCTGCCGGCAGCGCGCGCGCGTTGCAAAAAACATTAAAACACACCACATCATCAAAATTTAAGCAAAAAAAAAAACAAAATTAATAAAAAAAGAAACGCGAGTTTTTTCGACAAAAAAGTTACGACTCACACACACTCACACACACACACATTACACTACAAACACATGATACACATGTATAATCAACCGGGGGTGCGACGAGGTGGCTAAATTTTTGGAAAATTCGAAAAACCTCCCCCATCCACCTACCACCGCCCGCTACCACCCAGTGTCCAAGAAACGGAAAAAAAAATCATAATCCCTCTCCTCTTCCAGCCCACGACACTACTCCCGCGTCCGAATAAGAAGACGCAGGAAGAGAGAAATTTTTTCTCGTTTTTTTCGGAAAAACGCAAACTTTCGGCTTTGTTGTGTGACAAGAAAAGAAAAGAAATTATGTATTTGTGTATATCGTATGATACGTCGCAATCGTTGTGATTTGGAAACTGGAAAAAAAAGGAGGAGAGCAAAATCGTCGCACTGTCAAAACAAGGAATAAATCTAAATTTTCTACAATCCAAAGGGAAAAGAAGGACACCATCATCGAATCGAAAAGCCTCGACGATACTTTCGTTTTTCGTTATTAACCCAAACCATCAAGAATTCAAACGCGCTTTAACAACAATAAATAAGTAATAACAACAGCAACAGCAATTAATCAACAAGAAAATAATAAACAACTCGCAACAAGATTTTAAGTTTTAACGATCGAGGCAATAGTGATACAACAAACGGAATGAAATGAAATAAAATAAGCAACAAGTTTTTTTTCAAGTTATATAACTCAACTTTATACCCCTCTCATCACTCTGTACATGAAAAAAGGAAGAAAAGTTTTTTGGTTAATGAATCGTGAGACTATGGAGCTGACAAAATTAGATTTTTCACGTAAATGACGGACATTTACGATTAAAAACAAAACAAAAAAAAAAGAAACGGATCCCCCTAATGAACGTTTTGGCCGTTTTATCACGACAAAATTCGGAGAAGGAAGGAAAAAATTACCAAGTTCTGGCAGATAAATTTTTGTTATGATTTGCATCGAGCCGAGGGGCCTCGCGGAATTCCAGACGACGAGGGAAGAAGGTGAGTCGTTATTTACGTGTGCCTTACGTGACACCACCCACCCCCCTCATGTAGCTCCTCTATTTTTTTCCTCCTCTCTGCATGCATATACGACCCTTTAGAAATTAATCAATGATCAACGAAATGAGATATTGTGAAAATTGTGAATACAATCGTGCTCGTGTGTCCACGATGTTATTGCAGCATTTTTGGTAAATTATTCACTCGAAAGCGCTGACATAATTCGATAATAACATTGCGTTTTGCATACGAGCCACTGACAACGGAGCATCGATCGTTCGGTCGATTCTTCCGGTCATTTTCTCTCTTTATTTTTTACAAATCGGTGATCAGTGCATAGATGTGCCGAGTGCGAGTGCACGCCGCCGAGCCCGAGTGCATAATATCGTACATACATGTGGATGTGGGTTCAGTTTTATCCTATACACACACACGTACGAACGTACACGTACGTATAGACATCGAGAGTCGTCAAGTGAATTAAAGTTAATTTGCGATTCGGAGTCCAATAATAGAGAAGGACGTGTGCGGATCGTGGGTCATATGGTGCTGCGCTACTACTGCTGCGTGAGTGCGAGTGCGTCTGTGTACTGACCAGTGACAATCAACTAGAATATAATACGTAATGCTGTGCACGAGCAGCAGCAGCAAACACAACTTGGCGCAACTTGGCTCTTTGATACGATGTATATATTTTTTTTTCGCGAGTTTACTATACGGACGGCCCCTCTCTCTCTCTCACTTGTCCGAAACGTTTTAACCTTCGGCCTCTCTTCTTCTTCTTCTTTCTTCCTATTATATATATATACGTATATCCTAACTCAACTCGGCGCATCGAAACCGTATACATACATTACAACGCCGGAAAAAGTCAAAGTCAAAGGGCTCCAGAGAGGGGGAGTGTGGAGGACGGGCACAAAAGTTATAATGCAACTATACTGCAGGCTGTAGTATACGCTGTAGTGCCGAAATGGGGTGCATCGCTCGAGGGGGTGCAAGAGTAGAAAAAAAAATTCATTTAAAATACAACGGAGCGAGTCGTGCATAGAGAGAGAAGAAAAAATTAATTAAAATAAAATGTGTGCGTAGGATTCGTGTACTACTACACGGTTGCAGGCTGCAGTTCGGTTAAGTTGGGGTGTGCAGCGGCACAAATGCTGTTGCCGAATAGATTCGCACATATGTAATAATAATAATAATGATATATAGATTCGTCTAGGGCGCATATAACACAGATGCAGTTATGCACACATGCCGGCTCACGAATGTAGCCTAACACACGCATTATACACATATAGTGTCGCATATAGACGACTAAGACGGCGAATCCTCGAGACTTGCACACATACACACGTATACATACAGCAGCAAAATCGCACATACGTATAATGCACATATATACGTAGGTAGGTATGTGCCATTCTACGCGGAGAAGAGAAAAAGAGGAGAAAGAGGGGGAGAGAATTCGGCTACACTCGAGAGAGCTGCAGAATCCAGTTTTTCCTTTCGGCTTCCCAGGCTCCTATATGCTATACACGCGTGTGTGTAATATGCATAGATGCGACGCGCTGCTGCTGCTATTGCTATATACACATCTAAAAATCTCCCTCCTTCGTCGGCGCTCTCATTCTCTCTTTTGCTCCTGCAGCAGCATATATACATACAGTGTGCTGATGCTGCTGATGCTGCTGCTAGCGGTGCGCAGCATGCAGGCTAGAGGCTTTTTCACATCCCCTTGTGCACGTGAATGCGCCTAGCTCGAGCTCTCCGCAGCACTGCCAAATATATATGTGTGCGCCGGCCTACCATATGTATGTGTGTGTATCGGCTCTCTCTCTCTCTTTCTCTCTCTTTCGCCTTCGCATGACGTACACACACACACATCTACGCATGCACAAATGAAGTTCTAAGCCTGCAAACCCGTATACACACAAATACGTGTGTGCGTTTGTATGCAGGAGACTCTCTATACTAGCTTGAGCGTACTATAATACACATAGGCAAGGTGCGTAGACACGCTTTTCGGCAATGGAGCGCAGCGCAACGCAGCAGCAGCAGCTACAACAGCAACAGCAGCGGAGAGCGGAGTTCGCCGAGGCATGCCAAGAGCCCTGGCAACGTAGACCGGAGAATCAATAGATATGCGGCGCGTTGCATCTCGGCTCGCATCTACTACCACTACTTGTACGTATTGCTTCTACCCCTCTCGCGTGTATACCGTCGTGTTCGGTGCGCTTCGTTCGTCTATGTATCCTACACACGCACACACGAGTACAGTGGGCTATTATTATTTTGCCACAGCTCTACGTATCTATGTATATATGTAGGTACGATGCTGCCATTTGAGCAGGCGCGTGCACGCGGCTCTATGTGCGTGCGTGTACTACGATGCGCTATCTATATCGAGGATGTTCGTAGCAGCTCCCTTTTTCAAGCTTTTACTCTCGACGCGCTATCGGAT